ACATATATATCATTTAAGATATTGCAGAGTGTGTTCTGGGGCGGGGAATGACCTCTGAAAGCAGGCTGCAGGGGACATCACATGGTTGAGCACGGACCCCGAGGTGCGAGGGGACCCTGAGCTCCCAAGGCTGAGGGTCAGAGGCAGGGCCTGGGAGCCCCAGGGCAGCCTCCACAGCCAACCACAGACACAGTAAGCGTCCTTGTCTACGACACAGGGCACACAGTGCTCGGTGAGCCAGGTCAGGATAAGATGCTCGTGGTCTCTGTCCAGTGCGGGTCCCGCTTCCTGACGCAGGTGCGCCCTGGGCCCCCACAGGAAGCGGTCACATTCGGACTCACCAGGCCTGAGATGTTGGAAGATGGAAAAGCGCTTGCCACGGGAAAAATCCTCCAGGAACACAAGAATGAAACTTGGCCTGCACCTGGGACATCCTTCTCTACGGCTGGTCTACAAAGCAGGCGCTCTACACACGCTCCTTGGCTGACCCCAATGCAGACAAGACGCATGTGAGCCGCACCCGCACTGCAGGCAGGGACATTTGCCTCCCTTTTATAATAGCTTATTCGACTACGGTATCCTGGAAGCCTCGTTCTGATAGGATGAGAGCGGACTCCGTACTACAACACGGATTGGATAATAGTCTCCAACTCTGATTGGTTAAGATTATGCAATCAGAGATGGAGATTATCATCCAATAAGAGTTGTGCAAAAGTATCCTTGCGCAGTGGTCGTCATGGGCCGGAAGCGACGACCGGGAGCGCGTGCGGTGCGCACCTGCTTTGAAACCAGCCACAGAGAAAGGTGTCCCAGGTGCAGGAGGAGCTTCCTTCATGTGTTCCTGGAGGACCGTCCCAAGCCCCTGTCCATTCTCCCAACCTCTCGAGCCTGGAGAATCTGGAGGTGAGCGCATCCCATGGGGCCCGAGGCACAGAGAGAGAGGAACGGGGTAGAGGGAGGGAAGCGTGTGCAGGGGCCCGGAGCGCCAGGCTGCCCAGGCTTCGCCCCGCGGCCGCCGGGAGCTGTGGCCCCTCTTGGGCCAAGGCAGAGTCCAGCCCTCCTGCTGCTGGCACTGTCACCACCCTGGGGTCCTGCCTTCTGGGTCCCTGCGGGCCTCCTGTCATCTGGCACTGGAAATAAGCTAGCGAAGCCAAATTTCGTGAATATTGGCCCTTGCATCTTTTTCTTCATTTTCAATGCTGGTTTTTCTGTTGAGTCATTTGTGTTCTTACATTGATTTGAATAATTTTAAAAGGTATTTTATAAATTAATTCTTTATGGGCTCATTTCTAGTGTAAATAGTTGTTTCCTAGTCTGGTCATCGTTCCTTAATTTTATTTTGCATTTCTTTCTTGCTGGTACATAGGAATCTAATTGATGTTATGTATTCATCTTGCATCCTGCAGCCTGGCTTAATTGACATATTCATAGCCATCATTTTTGGATTGTGGTGCATTTTTCATGTACATAATAGTGTCAGCCACATACAATAACAGCTGTATTGCTTAGATGTTGGTTCTTATACCTTTATTTTTGTTATATTGTCCCAATTACACCTCAGCACTGTGTGAAATAGGGGGGATGTGTCCAAGTCTTACTTGGTTCTGTTTACAGGGGAAAAGCTTCGGTGGTCCTGTACTGTAATTTCATTTTAGACAAGCTTAATCAGATTAAGGAAGCTGCCTTACTTTACATTTACTAAGAGTTATGACTAATTGTTGAATTTGAATTAAATGCTTTTTTTACATATATTGTAAGTAATAATGTTTTTCTCCTATTTTTCTGCAAATAGAATATTTTACATGATCTATTTTTAATGTTAACCAATCCTGCATTTTTTTAGTATATCCCGCTTGGTATCCATGTGTTATGTTTTCACATGTGGTTTAATTCATATGATACGAGTTTTCTTAGAATATTTGTATCTCTGGCCGGATGCGGTGGCTCACGCCTGTAATCCCAGCACTTTGGAAGGCCAAGGCGGGCAGATCACCTGAGGTCAGAAGTTCGAGACCAGCCTGACCAACATGGCAAAACCCTGTTTCTACTAAAAATACAAAAATCAGCTGGATGTGGTGGTGGGCGCCTGTAATCCCAGGTACTCTGGAGGGTGAATAGGAGACTTGCCTGAACCTGGGAGGCAGAGGTTGCAGTGCGCTGAGATTGTGCCACTGCACTTCAGCCTGGGAGACAGAGCGAGACTGCATCTCAAAAAAAGAATATTTGTGTTTCTGTTAATGAAAGAGTGGGTCTGTAATTTTCTTTTTGTCTAATGTCCTGTTCACATTGTGGTATCAACATGATGCTGGTTTCACAAAACAAAATTGAAAAATAGTCCCTGTATTTCTTGTCTTTGGAAGGGTCTGAGAAATTTAGGTGTTTACTTCCTTAAATATTTGGAATATTTCTTTAGTCTGGGCATGGAATTTGACTTATGGAACATTATTTGTTAGCCGTTTTTTTTTTTTTTCTTTTTAACAATTCAAATCCTTTAGTATATTTGATGGTTTTCTTGTTTTATGTTATTTCTGTGTCCAGTTTTGTAAGCTTATTTTTCAATGTGATGTAATTTCTTTTTTATTATTATTATTTTTTTATTATTATACTTTAAGTTCTAGGGTACATGTGCACAACGTGCAGGTTTGTTACATATGTATACATGTGCCATGTTGGTGTGCTGCACCCATTAACTCGTCATTTACATTAGGTATATCTCCTAATGCTATCCCTCCCCCCTCCCCTCACCCCACAACAGGCCCTAGTGGGTGATGTTCCCCTTCCTGTGTCCAAGTGATCTCATTGTTCAATTCCCACCTATGAGAGAACATGCGGTGTTTGGTTTTCTGTCCTTGGCAATAGTTTGCTCAGAATGATGGTTTCCAGCTTCATCCATGTCCCTACAAAGGACATGAACTCATCTTTTTTTATGGCTGCATAGTATTCCACCGTGTATATGTGCTGCAGTGTGGTGTAATTTCATCTCTGTTGTCAAGCTTGTAGTCCTAAGTATTACTCAAAATTTCGTAGTATCTTGATACACTGCTCTGTAGAGCAGGCCTCTGTTTTCATTCCTGATATTGGTCTTTTGTGTCTTTTTGCCTTAATCAGTTTTGCTAGGGGTTTATTTAGTATATTAATATTTATTAACCAACTTTTTTTTGTTTTTTGAGATGGAGCCTTCCTCTGTCGCCCAGGCTGGAGTGTAGTGGTGCGATCTCGGCTCACTGCAAGCTCCGCCTCCCGGGTTCATGCCATTCTCCTGCCTCAGCCTCTCCAGTAACTGGGACTACAGGCACCCACCACCATGCCTGGTTATATAAACCAACTTTTATCCTTGATTTCTTTCCATTGCATTTTTTTCCCTATTTCATTGATGTCTGCTCTTTATTATTACTTTCGTTCTGTATTCTTTCATTCTAATCCTTTTTAATTCTTGAGAGGTTTATGTGATTGATTTTCAATCTTTTTTCTATTCTAACACATTCCCTTAATGTGTGTCCCATTTCTCTCTAAGCGGGGATTTATCTGGCAGCCCACATCTTCCCTTAGTGTCTGCAGCCGCATTGGCCTCTCAGCGTCTCCACCCTGTATGCCTGCAGCCATATCAGGCTTTGTGTGTCTCCATCCTTGTGCCTGAAACCTGTATCCTCTCTCCAGTATCACCATCCCTTAATGACTGAAGCCCACGTCTGCCCTTGTGTGTCTGTCCTCTGTCCTGGTCTGTCCTCTGCCTGCAGTTTATGCCAGCTGTCAAAAGTCTCCATTGCTTGCGCCTGCAGCCTGTGCCAGCCGTGTGAGTCTCCATCCTGTGTGCTTGCAGCACATTGCTTGCCTCGAGTGTTACCATCTCCTCAGCCTTCAGGCAGTAGCAGTCCTCCAGTGCCTCAATCCCTGGGCTTGCAGCCCGTTCCGATGTTTGTCTGTCTGTCCCCTGACCTTCTGCCCATGCCAGCCTGTGTTTGCTGCGTTCTCTGTCCCTCTAATCCATGTCCACAGTCAGTGTTTTCATCCGTGCTTTTCAGTCATGTCTGCACTCGTGTGTCTCCTTCCCCTGTGCCTTCAGCCCGTTTCTGTCCTTTTTCTGGATCATTTCTCCCAGGAGACTATGCCCAAAACTCCTGTCCCCAGTGTTTGTACCTGCAGCCAGTCTCTTTCGTTGGGTGTCTCCGTCTGTTGTTACCGCAGCAGAGGCCTCTCATTGAGTGTGCCTGCTTCCCAGCCGTCTTCCTGTGTCTCCGGCCCTTGTCCATGCGGCCCACAGCAGGATTCTTGTGACTCCATCCTTCAGCCTACAGCCACATCTACCTTCGGGTGGTTTTATCTCTGTGCTTCCTGCCCACGCCAGCCTTCACCTACTCCTCTGTCCTGCACCTGTACCCATGTCTGTCCCTGCTGTGCCTCTCTGCCATGCCTCTGTAGCCAGTGAGCTCCCTTTGTATCTGGATCCCTTATGACTCTAGTCCAGGTCTTCTCTCCTGTGCCTGCAGCCCGTGTCTGCCCTTGAATGTCCCCATCCTCTGTGCTTGTCACCGGTCGGCCAGGCCTCCCGTGTTTCCACTCTCAGTGCCTGCACCCATGTCTGCCTCCAGGGTCTCCACTCACGGTGCTACGGTTTGATTTCCCATCTCTACCCTCCTGGGTGGATTCTGGCATTGTGACTGGGGAGAGAGGCGTGACTCATAAAAGGGAAGGCTGGAATAATATGGTGGGCGAGGAGCTGCCACCGGAGGGCACACACAGTGGCGGAGAAGACACGGGCACTCAGAATCCTCCCTGCATTGGGGCGCTCACGGGGGGCTGTGCCTGGTGCGGGGAGTGAGGGGAAGCTGGAGCAGGAGGTCTGGAGCCACTTGGCCCTCTTGGGCCTGACACCCTTCCCACTGCAGCGGCTCCATCACCTCCGCAGTGGTCCTGCCTCCGGGGATCCTGCCCTGCAGTGTCTCTCCAGGGATCTTCTCACCTGGAACTTGCTGTGGCGGGTTTCATGTAAGGTAGAGTTTAGCAAATGTTGATTGGCTTCTGTGCCTCACTTCATATGCCTTGCTCGTGTTGTGCAAGTTTCTCTAGGGTGCTTTTTTGGTTCCTATATTGATTTGAAGGATTTATCTTAAATCTGTAAATTTATCCTTTATTGCCTCATTTTTGTCATAGATACTTGTTCTCTAGTTCGATCATTATTTAGTTACTTTCTGTTGATTTCGTACTAGTATACAGTAATCTGGTTGATAACAATCATGTATCCAGTATATTACTGTAACAGTTTTGGGGTTATGGATTGTCTAAGCATGTAATAATGTCACACACACATATTGACAATTTTGGGGGGGGGTTAAAAATTAATCCTAACGCCTTTTATTTGTTTGTTCTTGCTGTATTGTTTCTCCAGTATAATGCTGAATAGAGAGTGATAGCAGGCATCTCGTCTGGTCCTGCACTGGGGGAAAAGCTTCCTGTAATTCTCTATTAATTATGTTGTTTGTTACAGGCTCATATTAGACAAACCATCAAATTAAGGAAGTTGCCTTCTTTTATATTTTACTCAAAGTTGTTTTTATGGTTCAGTTTTAAACGTTATTAAATGTTTTTTTTTAAACTTAACCTAGGCCGGGTGCGGTGGCTCAAGCCTGTAATCCCGGCACTTTGGGAGGCCGAGACAGGCGAATCACGAGGTCAGGAGATCGAGACCATCCTGGCTAACACGGTGAAACCCCGTCTCTACTAAAAAATACAAAAAACTAGCCGGGCGAGGTGGCGGGCGCCTGTAGTCCCAGCTACTCGGGAGGCTGAGACAGGAGAATGGCGTAAACCTGGGAGGCGGAGCTTGCAGTGAGCTGCGATCCAGCCCCTGCAGTCCAGCCTGGGAGACAGAGCGAGATTCCGTCTCAAAAAAAAAAAACAAAAAAACTTAACCTAAATGATCTTATTATTTTTGCCTGTATTTTTCTGCTAATGAGATGACTTACATGATTTATTTTGAATGTTAAGGACCCTTGCATTTTGGGGTATATTCCACTTGGTATTAATCTGTGTTTTCGTAGGCGGCTTCATTCATATAATATTTTGCTTAGAATATTTGCAGCTCTGTTTATGAAAGAGGAGATACTGTTTATAAAAGAGGTGACACACGTATGTTTATTGTGGCACCATTCACAACGGCAAAGACTTGGAACCAACCCAAATGTCCGTCAATGATAGACTGGATTAAGAAAATATGGCACATAAACACCATGGAATACTATGCAGCCACAAAAAAGGATGAGTTCATGTCCTTTTGCAGGGACATGGATGAGGCTGGAAACCATCATTCTGAGCAAACTATCACAAGGACAGAAAACCAAACAGTGCATGTTCTCACTCATAGGTGAGAATTGAACAATGAGAACACTTGGACACAGGAAGGAGAACATCACACACCAGGGCCTATTGTGGGGATGGGGGAAGGGGGAGGCGGTAGGAGGGAGGAATAGCATTAGGAGATATACCTAATGTAAATGACGAGTTAATGGGTGTAGCACACCAACATGTCACATGTATAGATATGTAACAAACCTGCACGTTGTGCACATGTACCCTAGAACTTAAAGTATAATAATAAAAAATAAAAAAATGAAAGAGGTGACATAATTTTCTTCTTTTTTGTTCCATAATGTGTCCTGGTCCAGTTGTGTCCTCAAGCTAATACTGGCTCCACACAAAACTTTAAAAATACTCTATTTCCCAGCAGTCTGGGAAATGTTGGTGTTTTTC